GCTTTCCCACTCTCCTGGAAATTAATAACCTGGTTTGTTTGGTTTCATTCGGGATCTACACATAGAGGGTTTCTTGGCTTTTCCTTTGCAGATGTTTTCGTAAGGTGCAGAAGTGGCTGAATAGGAACTGGAAAAAGACTATTTTGGTGCAGATTTAGCGCCGTTACTGGCCACTCCCTATGTCTGGTTTTCGACGTGATTGGGTTTTTAAGCCTCTATAATTTTTCACGATCACCAAAAAACGGACCACCTGCAATGCGCATTTTAAGTGAAACATTCGATGGAGTGATAATCTGCGGCAAGATGATTATTCAAAAGTATGATGTTTTATCATTTTCGATTAAATATTCACAGAAAAGTAGGAGACGTTTATACCACTTACGCAGTCGTTTGTTTAACAAGCGTACTTTAGGAAAAATGATTGAGAAGACGCGTGTTCGATAGCCAACATCCTGGAGTGAATAATATGGGCAAATCATATTGTTCCCGTGAATCCGTATTGCAGTCTCTTGCACATAGTTCTCCCTGGTATAATTTTTATTTTATTATTTTAGCTTGTCCTTCGTGAGTTACGTTATTTGTTAAGATATGCGCACTGACCCCGGAATAACCGAGAACGTAAGATTGTGTATGGACATTATTCAACCGATCCAACTTCATGCGCCTGCCCTTCTAGAAGTTCTGTTGACAAATTTCATGTTTGGATTGTTCTCCGCTGCAGGTTGGCTCCGCAGCATCATCCCTAAGACTGCTTTGAAGGTTGAGGAGGAGGCCTGGAACGCCTACCCCTACATCAAGACCCGCTACTATGTGCCCTTTATGGAGAAATTCAGGCTCGAGTTAGAGACCAAGTACCTGGGCGATGGTGGTGATCGGGATGACGTCTTTGAGCTCCCACGGAACGGCAAGTTGTTCACTCTGTGCTTGGCAGCCTTCCACGCGACAGCATTAAGTGCACAATAGTAGATTCCAACCGGTTTTTAGGGATGATTTTTGTTTAGGATGCAGTCCTCAGAATCCACAGATTCTCCCTCTAGCAGCCGCCAGTTGACTGTCCACGCTGGTCAGCTACCTGATGCCAGCATCGGGCGCAAGTGGATGGCCGTGATAGACAATTCGTATGGTGTGCCACAGACCATCTGCTCCCCCTTTCCGCCAAGTAACGTAGCAGGTTTTCACACAACTGTGCTAGGCAACTCGAAGCTCGCATCTTTTAGAGTGCCAGTGGCCAAATACTGGAAGTACTGAACCATAGGCTTGCCAATTTCGTCAGAGTGATGTAGAGCGGGTTCTTACATGATGTATATGCTACTCGGAAGGACACCAGGTAGGTTGGAAGGGAGAGGGGAACCGCGCCATTAACGGCTGAACCCGGAAGACTAGAAAAATGTTTAGCATTTACTTTGAGCAAGCATCGTGAGTACTTATGTTAACTTAATTTACAGGAACTTTTCAAAGTATTTTTTTGGATTCCTAAGTTAATAAGTAAAT